CGCGCCATAAAAGCCTGTTAGCGAAAAGGTCACTACAGACAAAAGAAAGAAGTTCTAAGTGTGAGGATACTTACGGACTAAGGGTTCCAAAGATGCTTTAGGATTGAAAAAACTGTATTTTCTCAAATTAGCAGTAGTCACAAGCAGTCTCGCGTCGCGACTTTGCTCGGGTGGATTACCGAATGCCACAATGCGGTTGAAATCAATCAGAGCCATCAATCTGGTCATCTTATTTCCTGCAATGAGACGAAAATTTTTGTTAGAAACAAAAAAATGAAGGAAAAGGAACAGTTCGCATATTGAAAGAAAGGAAAACCTACTTGACTCTCTAAACTAGTAGACGTCTTCATACTCAAAAAAGAAAATTTTGGTTTCATAAGCCCCAACGTTACTGGGGTAACCAAATATTCCTCCCTTGATCGCAAATCGCTTCGAGAGGTAAAAAGAATATCTATCCTTGCTCTTCTTCAGATAGTAAGAGCATGCGAGCTCCAGCGCTGTCAGTTCGCCAAGACCATTTTCACCACATGCGATATACATAGCAACAACTATCATTCATCCCTCTCCATGGGCAATTTCCTTTACCTACCATCACACCAACAAGTTACTCTTACTCAGGTGCTCACTTCCACGGCTGGCTTATTTCACTTGTCAACACTTATTTCACACCAACCATAACCTATGTTGTTGCCACCCTTACCTACCACAATTAACATCAGAAGCTACTTTTCTTCTGTCATGGAGTGCGATACATATCGCTCCTGGAAGTCCTAGTTTCTTAATGTCCTTGCTATCCATGACCTACAACATGTCATTACCGGTGATGCCCGTCCTCTTGCACCCTTTCTGTCTGATGACACTACAAACCCAAGTCTTTCCCATTGGTTACGGACTGACAGATTGGTTTTAACATGGATCAAGTCTACTATTTCACCCTCTATTGTCCAGAATCTTTTACTGCCATGCACCACTACTTTTGAAGCTTGGTTCATACTTGATCGTCACCTGAATCCTTTATCTGGTGTTCATCTTCGTTCTACTTGTGATCAACTGCGCAATCTCCAAAAGGCCACTGACCAATCAATGAATAATTATCTTATTGATGCTAAATCTATGTTTGATTCTCTTTCTGCAGCAGGTTTTCCAGTTTCAGAATTTGCCTTTGTTGAATATATTGTTGATGGCCTCGGTCCAGAATATCAAGGATTCATCACTGATCTCCATCTTTGGCCTTCCACTACCTTTGATGAATTATTTGATCTTCTAGTTTAGGAAGAGGGGCTTCAACAGAAAAACTCCAGTTTGTCCACATAGGCTATGGCCATGGCTGCTAACCACACTTCCTCATAGTCATTTGGGTCTTCTGGCTCTTCTTCCAACTAACGCAACTATCGTTCTCACAACTGGGGCAATCATGGTGGGGTGAGGCTGTGGTGGTTAGAATAATCAATCATGCCAGCTGCCTTCGCCTTCTTTCCAACCTCATCTGCTACCTACTATAGCTGGTGTTCTTTCGCAGGGTGCTTGTCAGATTTGTGACAAACATGGGCATTTCGGTTATGTTTGTCCCCAACGTGGCAACTTTGCATATTCTGCAGACACTGTTTTTACACCTTTTGCTGTTATGTCTGTGTGTGACCCCTTTGACTCCAATTGCGTTCTTGATTTTGGAGCCACACATCATATGACACCAATGCTACTAACCTATCCTTTACTCAACCTCATAATGGTACGTCTTTCATTCTAGTTGGGAATGGTCAGTCCTTATCTATTACTCATAAGAATGATGTATGTCTTTCTGAGTCTCCTAATTCTGGAATTATTTTGTCTGATGTTTTGTGTGTTCCATCACTTTATAAGAATTTATTGTCTATTCATACACTTGCATTAGATTCTAATTCTGTTTGCATTCTTGATTTATCTGGCTTTGTTATCAAGGCAAAACAGACAAGTCAGATTCTTCTCTCTAATCACAACAGTAATGAGTTATACCAATTATCGTCTCCTATTGTCACCATTCTTTCATCTATTTATGTATCATCTGATGTCTGGCATCATCGTCTTGGACACCCTTCCCTTGCTATGCTCAAGACTATGCTTGCCTCTGTGTCTAGTCTAGTTCAGGATCTCTCTGTTGAGTGTCCAATATGTCCTCTTGGTAAAGGCTGTCATCTTCCCTTTGGCAAATGGACATACACAACTAAATCTCCTCTCGAGCTCCTTCATCTTGATGTGTGGGGTCCTACTCTAGTTGTGTCATTGTCTTCTTTTAAATATTACTTATCTATTGTTGACGATTACAGTCGATATACTTGATTTTTTCCTATGTTTAAAAAATCTGATGTCACTGAGATTTTTCATAAATTTAAATTAATGATTGAGAACCTCCTTTCATGTTCTATTAAAATCGTGCATTTTGATGGTGGTGGTGAATTTGATAATAAATTGTTTCGTTCCCTTCTTGGGTTCTATGGTATTACCCATCAATTATCATGTCCTTACACTCCTGCCCAAAATGATGTCATTGAGCGGAAACACTGTGACATAGTGGAAAAAAGGATGCTGCCTTTTATTACAATCTAACTTGCCACCATCCTTTTGGGTAAAGGTCTTTTCTACTACTGTCTTTCTGATTAACAGGTTGCCTACACCAGTGCTCAAGCATTGTTGTTCTTTTGAGGTTCTTTTTTGGTGATCTCTTGACTATAGCTTCCTACAGACTTTTGGCTATGCCTGTTATCCATTGGTCACCCCAACTGCTGCTCACAAACTAGCCCTATGCTCTACTCTTTGTATTTTTCTAGGGTATGACTTGTCACATCTTAGGTAGAGGTGCCTTTATATTCCTACTGGCTGTGTATACATTTCTCAACATGTGATGTTTCATGAGACAACATTTCCTAGTTATGTCATTGCTGCCACTTCAATGCCACCTCATTCAGACTTTCGACCTTTGTCTGTTCCATCCATAGTGCTTCAGCTTTCCGATGCTCTTAGATGTAGGCTTGCCTTTTCATTTGCACTGGCCATGCCACCATCATCTACCACTGCAGATCAATCTTCCAGTTCGGTTCCATCTGACTCCACTAGTTTTCCTCAGTCCCCATCAGCTAGTACTCATTCTTCTTCTATCGGGGATTCCCAATCATCTCCTTTGATGCTTATAGATTGTGTGCCTCCCTATTCTACAACACCACCAGCACCAATCCGTTAGAGGTATCATAGTCTCCATGATATTATGGCCTCCTCACCTCATGTGCTTCTGCATGCTCTTACAGTAGAGACACTGGATCTTATGCTGCATGAACTAACATCCTTTAAGCAAGCATAATCTGTTTCTCATTGGCGTCAGGCAATGTGTGAAGAAAATAATGCCCTTTTGTGGAATAATACTTGGGTTCTTGTTTCACCTAGTCCTCACTAGAATCTTGTTGGTTGTTGTTGGGTGTACAAAATTAAATGTCAAGCTGATGGGTCTGTTGAACGATACAAGGTTCGTCTAGTTGCGAAGGGTTTTCATCAGTAGCTTGGTATGGATTTTGATGGTACTTTTAGTCCCATTGTTAAGCCCATCACTATTCGCACTGTTCTTGCTCTTGCCATAATACGTGGTTGGCCACTTCGTCAACTTGACGTCAAGAATGCATTTCTCCAGGTTTATCTCATTGAAGAAGTATTCATGGAGCAACCTCTCTCGTTTCATTGATTCACGGCAACCCTCTCATATTTGTCGACTTATTAAAGCTATCTATGGTCTTAAGCAGGCTCTTCATGCATGGAACCATCGTCCATACTCCTTTTTGATTGCTACTGGATTTACCAATAGCTGCTCTAACTCCTCTCTCTTCATCCATCAAACATCTGGATCTATTGTGATTCTTCTTATCTATGTGGATGATATGGTTGTCACTGGTTCAGACCCCTCTACTGTAATAGATTGTGTCTCTTCGTTATGTTCTGCATTTACCTACCGAGGCTTGGGCTCTCTTGGTTTCTTTCTTGGCATGGAAGTTGTTCGGGATAATACTATTCTGTATCTATCTCAGCGACGTTATGTGGTGGGCTTACGTGCAACTTGATTCTTGTGCACCATGTGTTACACCCTTTAGCTCCCCCAAAGCATCACAATCCTCAGATGATGACCTTTTCCTGATATGACCCTTTATTGTAGTATGGTTGGTGGTTTTCAATATCTCACACTCACTAGGCCGAACATTGCCTTTGCTGTAAATGAGGTTGCTCAAAGATTGTCCGCTCCCACTCAATGTGATATGCGTTCTATCAAGCGAATTTTTCGGTATCTTAACAGCACACTATTTCATGGTCTCACTTTTCATCGCGACCCTAGCCTTCATCTTCTTTCCTATTCAGATGCTGATTGGGTTGTTGATGTAGCTACTTGTCATTCTATCTCTAGTGGTTGTGTTTTTCTTGGTTCCAATCTGATATCTTGGACTGCTAAGAAGCAATCTTCTATGTCACGCTCCAGTGCTAAATCAGAGTATCGTGCTTTTGCCCATGTTACTGCTGATGTTCGGTGGTTTTGTTATTTACTGTGTAAGCTTGGCATTCCCTTGTATTCTTCCCCATTGCTTCTATGTGACAACCAATTTGCTCTACATATGACAGCTAATTCTATCTTTCATGCTCGCACTTGGCATATCGATATCGACCTACACTTCATTCGTGAGTTAGTTGCTCGTTGGGCCCTTTGTCTTCGACATGTCCCCATTGCCTCTCAGCTTGCGGATATATTCACCAAAGGCCTATCTCGTGAGCGATTTCAGTCGCTTTGTCTTCAATTGCAGCTCCGAGATCTACCACTTCAATTGCGAGGGAGTGTTAAGGAATAAAATCATTCTTATTTTATTTCCTTATTATCATGATTATTATAATATTATCATTCCTTATATTTTTTTATTAATATCATTATTAGGATGATTATATTTCCTTATATATAATATGTCGGACTTGTACACTTCAATATACCAGCAGTTATGCAATTCTTCACATCCATGTCACTGTCCATGTTGTCCTCCCTTTCTTTCTTTTTTCTCTTATCTTTGCCCTCTGTCACTCTTTCTTACAAACCCGAATTGCTGCTTCTTCCTTCAACCACATCAGCCCCTGAGGCCCTGGCTTTTGATCCTGCCGGCAGAGGCCCTTACACTGGTATCTCCGATGGCCGAATTCTCAAGTACATCAATCCCAATGTCGGTTTTGTAGATTTTGCCGTTTCTAGTCCCACTAGGTAAACACCAAACCTTATATTCCAGAAGAATGCATCAGAAAACAATTGATATTTCATATTTAATTGTTTTGCCCAGGTCGAAGCTGCTCTGTGATGGATCAAATAGCACTAAAGGGCCGGCTTGTGGCCGTCCGTTAGGTTTGGAGTTTAACTTTAAAACGGATATTCTTTACGTTACTGACGCTTATTTCGGCCTTGTATCGGTTAATCCCGGCGGAAGTGTTGCCACACAACTTGCCACATCTGCAGAAAATGTTCCATTCCTATTTCTCAACGCTTTGAACATTGATCAAGATACCGGAATCGTTTATTTCGTCGAAACCAGCACCAAATTTCCGCGAGAGTACTTCTTTTTCCCTTTCATTTCCTGATTTGCCTAATTTTCTTTACATTTTTTATAATATAGAAATCCCCGGACTTGTAAAAACTGGAGCTCCCAATAAGTGCTGCCATGGCTGCGAAGCATATATTAACCATTCAGGTGGCCATGCGGGCGGTTCCAACACCAAACTTTTGCCCTTGTTTCAACGCTAACAAAAGTTTAATGTCAAATTTTACAGCAAATTTAATGAGGGTGTTCTCAGCAAAGACACGACAGGAAGATTAATGAAATACGATCCTGAAACCAAAGAGGTGACAGTGTTGCAAAGGAAACTTGGAATGCCCAATGGAGTGGCTGTGAGCAAAGATGGAAGCTTTGTGATTTATGCAGAAGCAGTTTTTGGAAGAGCACAAAAGTTTTGGCTAACCGGCCCAAAAGCTAACAGTTCAGAAATTTTTGCGACGTTCCAAGGGCGAGGGGATAACATCAAGAGGAACACAAAAGGGGAGTTCTGGATACCTGATAATTCAAATACAACATCTTTGGGAAAGAGGTTTAGTGAAGATGGCAAGCTTTTGCAGACATTAACTTTGAGTGAAGATCCGGCTATACGCTACAGTGAAGTTCAAGAGTTTGAAGGGAAAATATATCTGGGATCTGCAGGGTTAAATGTTAACTATGTTAAAGTTCTTAGTGGATAAACAGTTTGATGCTTAAATAAGTAATTTGTAATTCAACATCGATCCTTAGATTGTTGTTAAGAAATAAGTGATTTGTAGTTTAGCATGATTGGCTTGTTGTTTTCAAAAACAAATAAAATGAATGTCCTTTTATAAAATTCAAGTGCTTTTCATTTTAGTTAACGTTTGAGTTTAGAAGTTTATTATGTAATATGTGCTTGAAAAAATAGGCTGGCATTGATGAATTGCTTTAGACTTTTACGAAAGTGCTTCATCTCTTAATCCCATCTATTTACAATTGAAATTGATTTAATTAATACTTATAAACTTTAAATTTTAATGCACAATTGATTGGCATAAATAAGTAAAATCTGAGCAGAAAGTATGAGGATTAGGTGATTGCATAATAAACTGTATGGTTAATATATTTCTGAAAGAAATTGAAATAATACTATTGAAGATGATCGGTTTTGTGGAACTGATCATACCAAACCTGTATTGAATTATGAATTTACTCCCAATCGAAGTGCAACATGTATCATCAATTTTATAAAAGAATAAAATATTGAGTAGTTAAACTGTATTCATCGAGCGATACACAAGTTGGATTTTTTTTATTGATTTTTTGAAATACACATACAGTTACGGTTTGACCAATATATTCTATGTATAATATATTGAATATTATATTAACGTTTGGTGTCACTCTTCATTTAATATTTTAGGAGTTTTACTAATATTTATATGAGTAATGTTACAGTCACCGAAGGATACGTATCGAATTCGTGCATCGAATGACGTGACTCAATACTGACCGTTGATTAATATTGAATTAATATTAATCGACTGTCAGGATTGTATCACGTCATTCGGTGCACAAATTCGATGCGTATTCTTTGGTAACTATATTATTTTCCTATTTATATTGCTTTTATGAAACTTTCTAACTATCATAATCTTATATTATAAATAGCGTTGTCAAAATCATAGTAGATAAAAATGTGACATCGCTACAACTTATTGTTCAAGTCAATTTTGCACTAGTTAATCTCTAAGAAAGGGTGGGATCTATCCTTTAAATACACTGTCTTTGTTTGTTTAACTCTTTTGAATCATTTTTCTATTATCCGATTTGGATTAAAAAATAGAATATGTGTTTGTTTACTTATTGGGATTATTATTCTGAAATTTAATCCGAATCAAGTAAGATTTTTTCTATTGAAAATGAATAGAGAGGGGGACTTGTTTTCTATTATCCTATTCTAAACATTTTTCTAACTCTATTCAACTAAAAACAATTACCTATCACTTATTCCAATATGAAAATTAATCAAGCAAGACCACCACCACCTGCCAGCAACCACCGCCGTTACCGCCGACGACCATTGCCAGCCGCTGGCATTGGAACGACACACAACCGACTGAATTTGGTTGATCATGCACCGATTTGGCTGTTGATGACTGCCAGATTTTGGCCGTCGTTGATTGCCAGATTTTGGCCTAACAATGGCATAGACTTAGCTATTTCTGACCAGATCCACAATGGATTCGACCAGAAAAGGTCATATCGACGCACGATTGGTTAGATCCAACTGGTTGTGCATCATTTTGATGATTGTCAGCTGTCATTTGGCGGCTAACTATCCTAGTGGGTGGTTGAGGTATTTTTGTTAATTTTTAAAGTTTTATTGTTTTTTCTGGAGAGGGGTTGTTTAGTTAAATTAACAAATGTTACAGATTAAAAAATAATCTAAATATTTTTAGAAAATGTTTTCAAAAAATGTACCAAACAAGTATTCAACATTTTATCAAACTCTAATATAATTTTCAAATATTATACTAAACAAATTCTCTGAATCTTATCCTATTTGATTTAATCCAATTCAACTTAAAATATTTTAGAATAACATTTTTCAAATAATCTACTAAATAGCCCATTACTTTTTAGCATGTCTTGGTTTTCTTACGTGTGGATTTAACTCAGTCATATTTTAAGTACTCAGTTATAAAAGCACCAGAAGAGATCCTATCTCCACTGAAGAGGGACTGCGTGACTTCACATAAATAAGGTCATATACACTGATAATTAATTTCCTTGGAAGTTTCAGTCTTCTTGTTATTGCAAGGTTGTACGAAGAAATGAATTAGGATATAATGATCTCTTCCGTTAATGTCTGTACTTGGACTGTGAGAAAATACAGCTTCACCATGTATAGCTAAACAACAATTAAATGTTAACCGAAGCCCATTTCATTGACTTATCATGTAGCAACCCATAAAATCATGACTTGTATTCCATCCCCACCTTGTGTCGTATATATATATATATATATATATAGAAAAGGATGGGCGGTCTCTTTTCTAATTGATTTTGAAATATGGAATTCCGAAGGAGAAAGGCGGTCATTGAATTATTGGTGATCGTTCTACACTCAACTTCTAAAAAATAATTAAAGCATCATCTTCTGGTAGTAGTGGATGTTTTATATTTGAAATGGTGACGTACTTGGCTCATTTGCTACTTGATGGAAATCGGAGGTGTGGGTAGTTTGAAAGATGGATTTGGTGGAATTTGCTTCAAGTGCAAATTTGCTGTGCCGAATCTAGTTCGTTATGTCAAATCTTCGTTGTTGTGAGGATTTTTTGCTACCTATTTTAGAAGCTAAATTGTTATGGTGACTTTTAGTTTGTTGTAGTGAATCTAAGTTTGTCATAGCCAGTTCAAATTTACTATAACGAACGTATAATTCTGTTAAGTGACGTTATTATCATTATTTTTATGATTTTGGGTCAAATTGAATTCATATGATTAGGGACAAGATGGGAATGCCCCAACTACTATATAAATGTAATTTTTTTAGCCCTAGAGAGTCTCAATTGTGTATGAAGAGAGGAGTGTGGCACAAGAAAACCCATTCTAGAGAGTAAGACTAACATAAGAGAAAACTCTAGGTCTCTAGGTTAGCTTCCATTGATTGAGAGTACGAGAGCATTGTAATCAAGAGTTGAGTGATTTGTAAGCTTGTACTCCTTTTGATTCATAGTGATGTATTCCCCACACCGTCTTTGTGGATGTAGCCCAATCGGGTGAACAACATATATCTTGTCTTCAATTAAATTTCTGGTAAGAATTTTCTCTTGTTTGTGGTTGATTGTTTGTCAAGACACTTAATTCAATCATTGAGAGTTTTTCTGCTGCATTAATTTGAGTTTAAAATTGATATTTATTGTATTGAATTTACAACAGAAAAGTGGCGACAATATCTTTTAGGTCTTTAGAGAGGTTGTTTGGCAATGGTAAAGCAACATTTATGTTCTAGTACAATAAAATTATATACTATATAGTATATTGATCCAATTCTAATTTTTTAATAAAGATGTTCTTACATAAATTTTATGAGGATCATACTTAAATACCACTGAATTCATCTATGAAAATATCATCTTATTCTAATGGTGATGAATTTGATAATATTTAAACATGGTTCTTACAAAATTTAAAGACATCCTTACTAGAGAATTACTCGTTCTCTGATTATAAGAACGGCCAATAATAAACAATCTAGTGAAAGTTAATTTACTTCAAACTTCGGTTCTTAAAATCAACTAATTAAATAAAAGATTGGGTAGCCTTCTTCTCCTTCCTATCTTACTGATCTTCTTCCTTAACCAATTAACTGAGAAGTAATTTAGATCATAATCCAACAAGTGGTGTGAATTAGGCTATAAATAAAGGTCCATCTTCTGTAATACTTGGTACTCTTCAAAACTCCACAGACATATATATTTGCATTTGACGCCATGACAACGTCCATGTTGTTCATTTCTCTCTTTTTCTTCTTATCATTGCCTTCAGTTCTGCCTCTTTCTGACCTGGAAAAGCTGTATCTCCCTTCAAACACAAAAGGTTCTGAGGCCCTTGCTTTCGACCCCGCTGGTGCAGGCCCTTACACTGGTGTCTCCGTTGGTAGAATTCTCAAATATGTCAATCCCACTGATGGTTTCCAAGATTTTGCTGTTACTTCTCCAACAAGGTAACCCAACCAAATAAATATAAAATGATTGAATATCTAACATTAATTAATATTGCTTTATTTTTTTTCCCAGGCCCAAGCAGCTCTGTGATGGCTCAAGTGACCCTGCTCGAGAAAACATATGAGGCCGTCCTTTAGGCTTAGAATTCAACGAACAAACAGGTATTCTTTATATTTCTGATGCTTATTTTGGCCTCGTAGCGGTTGGTCCCAATGGTGGCACTGCCGCCCAACTTGTCACATCTGCAGAAGGTGTTCCTTTTCGGTTTCTCAATGGTTTGGACATCGATCAGGAAACTGGAATTGTTTATTTCACAGATGCCAGCTCAAGATTTCAGAGAAAGTACTCATTACTATCACTTTCATGTGCTTAGTTTATTAATTTAAGGGTTCTGTCTCAGAGCCATAATTTGTACAAATTTACGAACTTAATGTCACCTTTTACAGTCAATTCAGTCAAGCTATTCTTAGCGGGGACAGGACTGGAAGATTACTCAAATACGATCCTGTCAGCAAAGTGGTGACTGTGTCGCAAAGGAACCTTGGGCTACCGGTTGGGGTTGCTGTTGTTAAGAAATATGTGTTATTTTGTTTTATTGTTTATTAAGGGTAGATATGTCTTTTCATTATTTCCTTTGTTTAGCCTATATATAACTTTGTATTTAGGTTAAATCATACTTTTAGTATTCAATTGAATTGTGCAGTATTAATAAAACCCTAACCTCCTCTTTTTATTATTTCTTTGGATTGTTTAACAGCTGTAAGCAAAAATGGACAATTTCTAGTCTACACGGAAGCACTTTTTGCAAGAGCACAAAGGTTTTGGCTCATTGGCTTGAAAGCTAATGCATCAGAAGTTTTCGCAACATTTCCGGGCTCACCAGATAACATAAAGAGGAGTGCAAAAGGGGAGTTTTGGGTGCCGATTTACACAGGAGCAGCATCTTTGGGAGTTAGGCTTAGTGAAAATGGCAGACTTTTGCAGATATTGAAGTTGAGTGCACTGAATCCAGTTCAACACTACAGCGAAGTTCATGAGTATCAAGGAAAAATCTATCTGGGATCGGTCATGGCAATTAATTACGTCGGAGTTATCGATTGATAGAGTT